AGACATTCTGGAGGTGAACTGTGCTGGCTCTGAGGTTCTGAGGCTATAGGACGCCATTGGCCATATATCAGAATAACAACGAACAATGTGGTTGCTAAAAAAAAAGACTCTTGCATAGCTAAGCCATTCAGCTGTTTAAGCTATGCTGGTAGAAAGAGCAATCTTCATTGTAGATGGATACAGGGAGTCCTTAATTTACAACAGTTCATTTAGTGACTGTTGAAATTTAAAATATCACTGAAAAAAAGACTTATGACCATTTTTTACACTTATGGCTATTGCAGCACTCTCACGGTTATGCGATTTACATTTGGGTGCTTGACAACTGGTTCATATTTATGATGGTTATGGTGTCCTGGAATCACATGATCATCTTTTGTGACCTGACAAGCGAAGTCAATGGGGAAGACAAATACACTTAACGGTGTTATAATTTAACAACTGCACTGATTCACCTAACAAATGTGGCAAGGAAAATAATAAAACTCACTTAACAAATGTCTCACTTAGCAACATAAATTTTGGGCTCAGTTATGGTTGTAAGTTGAGGACCACCTGTATTTGTTTTATACCAAACTGCTAAAAAAATTGAGATGCAACTTAAATACATGCTTGAGATCCTGACACCTATAATCCAAATGCCTTTTGTTTTTTTTTTAAAAATAACATGCCTATATTATTAACTTATTTGCAAAATATTTGAAAAACCTCTTCTGGTTAGATACGAATATCTAACTGTTCTTGGGCAGGCTAAACACATCCTGGTTGTTTACAACATAGATGATGAAAAGTTAGGCTGTTTCCACTGTTGCTTTCTAGCAACTAGTATTTAAGACATACTGATTGTTATATGGTGTGCAACAGAGATTAGTAGCTGCTGATATCTTAATCCCCATGGGTTTTTTTCCTACTTTTCTTTGAGACTAAACTGGGGGCTATCTTCACATCTGATTTTTGGGGTTTCCATAGGTTAACTATATACAATAGAAAATATTTTACACACTCACACACACAAAATCTCAAAATGTAAATAATATTGCAACAACTAAGAAAACAAAAATGTATTTTTCCATGTAATATATGTAAGAACTACCTTCTGTTTTTATCCTGTTGCATTCTTTACCCCTTTTGGTGTCTGGTTTCCCATTTCCCAACAAACCACTTCTGTTTTTTTCCTGTCATGGATTCAGAGTGACAAGATATCTGCTGTTTGGTGTATTTTTGAGAGAGATGAAGATAACAAAAGGCAGTTCCAACCTTGTCAGTGATATCATCAGTAATATGGTTGAAAGAAGCATGGAAAACTATTTAATATGGATATTAACTATATTTCTATTTAGTATAGAAGTATAGAAATAGATTAGAAAGTATAAAAATGGGTATCCCAAGTACGGTAATATGGTTCTTTGGATTTTTGGCTTACTACTCCACTTTCAAAGGCAGGTACATTAAATTTGGGATGATAGTGTTCTTGCCAACTTCAGTATTTTTCTAAGGCCATGTCCTCTTTACTGAAATAAACAACTGCAATGGTGATTAAGGAAAAGTGATAAAGTATCTGGATCAGCGGTGGGATTCCAAATCTTTTCCTACGGGTTCTATGAAAGTGAGCTTTGCACGAACACACACACAACACTCAAACACAGCCCTCGGTGTCAGCGCTGGTGAGCTGAGCTGTTGTTTGGCTCAGCTGAGGCACAATCCATGCGCGAATCACCTGAGCTAAAAAACAAGGGAATATAGGACAGGGAATGGCTGGGGCAACCAGAGGTTGTATTTTCCAGGTGTTCGAGCTACTCAAAACTTCCACTACTGGTTCCCCAGAACCGGTCCAAACCGGCTGAATCTTCTGATGTGGATATTTTTTCCATCAGAAGTACAGTCTGAACAGTCTGGCCATTACCGGGGAAGGAGGGCTCGCTACGTTATAGAGATCCCTCCTTCCGGCCCTACGAGTCCCACTCCAAG